TATCTAAGTACATTTGGAGCCTCAAAGACAACAATCAAGACTACACATGTAAATGGAGTATTGAGTCGCGTGCGACACCTTACCGATGCGGCTCAAGAAAGTGTGACCTGTGCCTCACTGAAAAACTAACTATAATCAAGAACAACATTAACGCTATCCTAAACAAAAGAACTGAATTAATCTCAAAATGCCGACATAGAAATAAATTTCTCTTATGTAATACCCCTTAGGGATTTCCTTGATATAAATACGAGATGTGTAAAAATGTTCATTGTAGCCTGATGATTGTGTAACAACATGAAACTTATAGTCGCTACCCGCGTCATGTGTCTTTGATTCCGTTAAACTCATACGTGACCAGTTAAATATATTTAGGCGTCACAGCTCTTCTGTGATGTTGTGGTTCGTTTTGTATCCATGGTAACAGTTGTGACGTCATAATTGTGATGWCGTCATTTCCTATAGTGTTTTTGTCGTCTTTGAATAATTTGACTCCAAATCTYACTTTTTTTGGTCTATATCGTTATTTTATGGTAAAATTTACAATTTGAGGAGTTTTTGAAGTTAAACAATTTGGAACAAGCAATTTTGAGAAGAATATCCGCCATTTTAGGATCCGCCCTCTTGGACCGCCATCTTGAATTTTCTAAAATGCCATTAAAGAACTAATGAGGCAAACAGCTCAAAATGTCTTAAATGCTTCTCAAACTAACATTTTTAAATGAAAAAAAAATTAAAATAAAAAAAAATTAAAATGAATAAGAAAGTGAGTTTTGAAGTGCTACTGATGATTTTAATGAAATTTTCTTCCCTGTGAAAAATTGAAAAACTGAAAACTACCCACCCCTCCCCCAAAGTTTTTATTGTCCAAAAAGTATTATGTTATTGTAGAGTCAGCAATGGGAGCAAGCTCAAATAGGTAAAAGATGCATACTAAAACAAGAAATAAGCTTTAAAAATGAAAAATTAAGCTTATTTTCCATTTTTGAAAGCCTCTGTGTCAAAAGCTGGTTGCCATGGCGACATGGATGACGTTATCAACAAAAAAATTACATCAAAATCTGCCCAGTTAAATTTTAGGAAAAGTCCGAAAGTTTCAGAGCTGTAGCTGTTTTGGTTCGAAAGTTATTGGCTTTTTACGCGAGGGGCGTCCCCCCCAGTCTGAATAGGCCGTTAAATTGGATGGATTGCAATAAGGAATGTAGGGATTGAGATGCAGACATCGAATGTGATATGGTAATACCTGAATACTTTTTGCTTGGYAATTTAATGCCACTTTCTATTTTCTTGCAACCTGTTTTGCTACTTAGCATWTTAACTTCGTCCAAGTAAATATTGGAACTGTTGTTTGAGCCAATGGTCGCCTCGAAAGAAACCTGTACAAGAGATGCATTAGTTAGAAACCGCAGGGCATRCAATAGAACATTTGGATGACTGTATAACTACACTAAAACARCCWGAATGCCTTGTGCATTTTCTTTTTGATTAACAATATTGATCCCTTTGGAGAATAGTAAAACAATTTGGACTAATAACATCACACAAGAAGCGTGCAAAGCATTCTGATGGTTGTTTTAAATGACGCCTTCATGATGCAAATCGCCTATATTGCATAAGATTACTAATAATTTATAATTTATATTAACTAGGAATCTTGCCTTATATCTCATGTAATGTTTGTGAAATATAACACAGCCTTTTTTCCAGTCTTYTCCTTGGTTGCCATAACGTCCCCATACTACCTYTGACTCTTTATAATTCGTCTSCGAGGTCGTAGCTGTCACAGTGAGCTTCTCAACAGCGTTACCATACATACGATAGAAAAACGTCATTGTGAATGGTCCCTCTATTATTGTACTCAACAAGACTGCTCTCTGGTCGTAAAATAGCTCTTCAGATGAATTGATGAAGGCATAGACTTTTCCTGTACAAAACACATCATTCTTTGAAAAAAGAAATAATTTCATGATGCTCCAAGAAGTATAATTACRTGAAAAMAATAAAACTGATTGTATCCAGTAGAAAAGGGATGTTCAGCGCGAGGTCTGTACAGAGAAACATAAGACCGACGTCTTGACGTACAAAAGAGACCCGAGGTCTGATGTTTCTTTGTACAGACTACGCTAGCGAGGTTATGACTTTTTGTTGGTGTTTTGGTTGCATTTTTAACTCGGAGATTGCGTTATTAGCAATCGAAGAGTTATTGTAGGTGRACGATCAGTCACTCACTCAGTCACTCACTTTCCTGTAAACTGCGTTGTTGCCTTAGTAACTCCTATTTTTTGACTTACTAATTTTTAATTATTCATCTTCACGGTCTACCTGTTTCTTTTTCGAAGAGAAAGAAATTCATGTACTCGATGTGGCTCGAACTCCTGAACTTTCGCATCATATCAAACAATTGCTTCAGAGAAAAATTCATGCGTTTGTCAAACTTTTTCTGACCATATATGGTAATCTTACCTTATAAGGAAGTACGTTAGAAGTAATGTTTAAAGTCCGACAATGAGGACTGAACGGGATTTCAAGTCCGCGCAATTAGTTCTAGTCCGAGGCGTTAGCCGAGGACTTTGAACGACTTCTCATACTCATTAATAATTCGGGAGGGGAAAAAAGCGAAGGAAATACATATAACANAATAATTTGATTATCATTAGCTAGTAGTAGTTGGAAACATGGTAGAAGTAACTGGAAATAAGGTAGAAATAGCTGGAAATAATGTAGAAGTAACTTGAAAAAGGTAGAAGTAACTGGAAATAAGGTAGACTACAAGGTACGAGTACTTCCTCTGGTTTCAAGTTACTTCACGTGGTACAAATTACAATCAGGGATTGGCTGGATACCTCATGAATAATTAATGAGTATTAGAAAGTTTTTTTCAATTTTTTTCCCACATTTTAGTTCTTTAAAATGGTGAAAACTTACAGAATTTGCAGAGAAATTGGTTTTTTCAACATGTCGGCCATTTTGTCCTAGTCCCCTCCCATCCTTCAAAATAAGGAATCCGTATTTTGTACGKTAACAAATTGGTTGATTTTGTTTTTCAAATGTTAAGTAGTTAGACACTAAGTTGAAAAGAGATGGTTTCAGTGATAAAAATTAAAATGGTTCTTATAACACATCGATTTGAGCCACTGACAATATTTCTAAAGAAAATTGACGCTTTCAACTAGTAGAGAACTACTGAAAATAGACCCCTAGTAGCGCAGCCAATCCKTGAATGTAGATTTGCTGTACTATGGTAATACGGCTTACGGCAAATTGCTAAACGAAACGAAACCAATTTGCACTTTTCAATGTGTAAACAGCGAAACCGTTTCGCACTTTACAGATAAGAAACTCTTGACTGCGAAGCGAAGACATTTCCAAGTTTAAATCCTGCAAAAAGCAAAACTTTTTCCCACTTTACAGATGGTTATACTTTAAAATGCCAAACGCCGACTTAAATTTGACCAAATTCTACAGAAATATAATATTTACCTGATAGTTNAAGCGCATCAGAACTTCATTGATATTTTGCGCTATATAAATACTATTTATTATTATTATTATTATTATTATTATTGTAAAGTCTCAAAGACAAAAGGCTTTACATTTCTGTGTGCATACATTGCAGCCATGTGGTAAAAGTGTAATATAAACCGATTACCTATTGTAAGATATAAGACAGCTTCACTCTATTCATTTGATTTCATTTATCATTTATTTTTTTATGCTCGAGGGGGGTTCCTAGGAACCCATGGAACCCCCCTGGATCCGCCACTGCTTTTTCCCACTTTACAGATGGTTATACTTTAAAATGCCAAACGCCGACTTAAATTTGACCAAATTCTACAGAAATATAATATTTACCTGATAGTTTTGGTCCTTTTCCTTTTTTCAAGCTCCATTTGATGTCGCGATATCTGTCATTTTCCCAAGAGCAGAATGATCTCGAGTCAAAGTTGCAGCCCCGATTGTCTATATTGAGAACATAAAGAATATGCCTTAAAGTAGCTTGAAGTGAACTATTACAACTGCAATCTATGTTGGAAATCAATCTTCTGAATAGAAATTTATTTGTCTTGAAATTTGTCGGACTTGGACCTTAAAGGAGTTTGTATACTTCATATTGTAGGACGTYAAAATAATTTCAACTCTTACCCCTCCTTTGACACACAGAAAACACAAACCTTCCTCAAACATTGTGTTTTCTGTGTGTCAAAGGAGGGGTAAGAGTTGAAATTATTTTGACGTCCTACAATATGAAGAAATTTATTTGAAAATCAACAAAACTTTTCACTCCCGCCAATTGATCTCCAATCCTTCGCAAATATAATGTCGTAAAAACTGTCCAGGCAATCTGGTAGACATGGTAGGCAGGAAAATTAATGTTTTGTTTTGTTGCCYAGTACTCTTTGTTCTAAAAAGGTTGTCGGTTAGGAGATTTCTGGTTAAAAGCATTTTAATGTTCAAAAGTGTGAGTTATGAGAAARACGTTACTTACAGTAAGGATACGGCGAATTGCAGCAGTCAGCTGTATTTGCTACCAGACCAATRAAGAAGACAATGCATATCCACAATGCAGTCATAACAGATAATTAGAGCACGAAGTGCTTACAGATCTGCAGTGTTGATAAAATGAAGTAAAATATTTGGTTGTCATTTTGTACTGTAGCTGTAGCAATGCTGTACAACGCAGCAATATTTATACAAGACAAGACAAGTAATACATGTWAAAATTTGCTCGAWAGGAKAAATATTGAAAAACAAAAAGAATATTTGACACCATGGCAARAGTCTCAATTAGGTTTTATTCATGGATTTCATATACACTTTCTCTAAGGGACGGACCATTAGTTTTTGAGGGGGAGGCTGGGCAATGACCAAAAAAAAAAAAAAGAATTTAAGCAATACTTAAATAGAGAAAAAAAATTCGTGCACATCAAGAGTGACAAAAAAAATTCGTGCAAGCGAATAATTAAATTWACATTTCAAGAATCATAATCACAGAGGTGGAACACAAACAGTTTTTTAAAGTTTATCTCACTCTTTTTTGAATTTAATAAAATATATGTTAACTGCTGTTTTTCGTCTGTTATGTTAAACTAGAGCATCACTGCTTAGTCTAAGAAAATGTTTCTGTTTTCGGCTTATTCCTTTCTTAAAATAGTATTTTATCTTACTAGCCTCTCGCTTTGTGTTTTTTGATGAAACTGTTCCCCTATTGCCTATGCTTCCGTCAATGCCAACTTTTGCTCGAARCAACAACAATCACCAATAAAATGTTACATAAAATTTACGAAACAAGCATTGAGTATATCGGTGAAATCGATCAAAATCAACTAATAAGTTAAAACAGTCTATAAAGTATAGTTTAAAACACGAGAGAGAGTGTTTTAAACGGCTTCAAAAACTCCAACACTAATTTGAAACTCAAATCCGTTAAAGTTCTTGGAGAAATCATAGTGCCGTACAAAATTAATATGTTCTGAGATAAATAGGGCAAACAGATCATGCGCGAATCACTTTACAAAGCACTCTTGTGATCCTACATTGAATACGCATAAAGTAAAATAGAACCGCTCCTGGCTGCTCACTGCAATCGGTTGACATCCTGCATTTGGTCAATGATCAGGTTTCAAACCTGAGACCTTTGCTAGGGTCATGGACCTTTATATCTGATAAAGGTCTCCCTTATTAGTATTCTTATATAAAGAATACTAATAAAGATATAAAGGTCCATGCATGTGACCAAATAGGCTCATTCTATTGGCCTAATAACTCATTAATTATGTATGAGTTTTTGAAAGTAAAATACTTCATAACTCATTCAAAATAGCAATCAAAGGGCAGGAATGCACATTTCCCTTATAATACGGCATATAAGGATCATGAGTCGAAATTGAGGCGGTTTCAATGTTAGTACAGGACAAAGTGGTTATGTTTTCAGTCGTCTGTATTTTAGGCCTGGTTCATACGTCGAGTTAGCCTCGCGCCGAACCAAATAGTCTTGAATTTAGCACATGAACAGCTCGACGTATGAATCAATTGAGTTCGGCGCGACCGTAGCACGGCAGCGACAGTCGTGCTGCACGGCAAAAGCTCGACGCTGATTCTAGCGTCGTCGTACCGAACTTAAATGATACTTTTCTTCGAGAATAATGATGGTGTAAATTGCGTGTTGTCGTATTTGTTCTAATTCTTTTGACTGCATTTGTTTCGACGTATGTATCAAAGACGTACCAAATATATTTGGGTCGACACTAATTGACTACTTGGTTGGGTGCAACACGGGCTCGACGTACGCCGGTCCTTAGCGGCAAAAATTCAAAGGCCAGCTAATCACTACAATACTTTACAAAAGAAGTTCTTATCAATTTTTACCTGCAAAAGTAGTTTATTTATTGTTACAAAAAAGAAAAAAATATTGCATATTGGTCAATCGGGAAGTTTTGATAATTGTTCAGTTTTAAATGGAATTGATTTTGGTTGGACGTTATTTTAATGGTTCTCTTGTTTAGAATATAGGAAGTTTCTTACCTTTCGTCTTTGAAGCGCGTTTAGCTTGGTGAAAGAAGTTAACTTTTCTTCAACCTTAACATTCTGCTTTAAACGTTCAAATTAAACATCTGTTACTGTGTACTTCCTTTAGTTAAGTGTTTTGTATTAATGCATGCAAGAAATGCAATATACAATTTTATTGGAAAATGTTTAATTGTGGCCACACAGATGAACTGTAATAAGGGTAATTATTCGAAAGCAGGACAAATTGATGAACAGGCACTGTGAAATCTAATAATGTAAAACACGACCTTCACATATTGACATTAACTCGTACAGATAATGACTTTTCTTTTGCTAGCTTTATCTTAAATTGATATATATTCAGTGATGAAGATTACTCTAGTTCCTTCACAAAGTTTACTAACACATACTGCAAAGAATTACACTTTCAAACATCATTTTTGCGGAACGCAAACAGGCAAATTAGTTGGATAACATATTATCTTATTATTTTCATTTAGAATATTCTAGAGGCAATTGCATAGCCGCACGGCGCCTGTAAACATCTTGGAGCTAGTTTATTCTAAAAGCGGGAGGCACACGTCTTCCCCAACGGAAACTTGAGGGTGGATGGAAAAGTACTAATAAGTAAGAGTATCTCGTTCAACCATTGAAGCAGTTTTCAGTGATAGTTATAAAATTCTTGGATGAGTCAGACATACTTTTAACAAATAATCCCAGCTTCGATCCTCAACTCGAGCACGTCTAAAATTATTTCTTTATTTTTCTTTTAAGTGCTTTTTTCTGTAGACATTTGTTTTTTTTTTACTAATTACGAGCAGTTTTTTAATAGTGACCGAAGACCATATTCGAATAGCGCCGTCGAACCGATAATCGCGGGTTCGATTCTCGATTCGGGCACCTCTAATGTTTATTTTTCATTTTTTTAACAGTAAAATAAACCTATTGTTTGTTTTTCCTTTCTAAAATGTGAAGTGATCTTTTGAAGTATAATCCGAATGAAATCCGAATGCTAAATAGGCCTTATAGACAGAATCTATCAAATCAATACGGCGCTAATAAAGATATATTCCACGGCAAAATGTTATACGCTGTGTCTATATGGCCTGTTACCGGTCAAGGTCTTGAAAATGCTAAATGGCCGGCAGCCCATAAAATGTGTTTTTCCCTCTCTTATTATCCAAACAAGCTTCCAAACTCCAAAATAAAACTCTACGAGTAAAATGAGTGTGTTAAAACTTACATAAACGTCGCGCCGAAATTCGTTGCACTTAGAGACAATATTGTGCGAACTTGAACCGACTGCCGGCCACGCAACAACGACATCCTAAATGGCCAGCAGCCCATAAAATAACAGATTTCTCTTTTATAATTCTTATTTAAAGAATACTAATAAAGATATAAAGGTCCATGCATGTGACCAAATAGGCTCATTCTATTGGCCTAATAACTCATTAATTATGTATGAGTTTTTGAAAGTAAAATACTTCATTACTCATTCAAAATAGCAATCAAAGGGCAGGAATGCACATTTCCCTTATAATACGGCATATAAGGATCATGAGTCGAAATTGAAGCGGTTTCAATGTTAGTAGAGGACAAAGTCGGTGGTTATGTTTTCAGTTGTCTGAATTCTAGGCCCGGTTCATACGTCGAGTTAGCCTCGCGCCGAACCAAACAGTTTGAATTTAGCACATGAACAGCTCGACGTATGAATCAATTGAGTTTGGCGCGACCGTAGCACGGCAGCGACAGTCGTGCTGCACGGCAAAAGCTCAACGCTGATTATAACTTCGAGCTGTCGTCGTACCGAACTTAAATGATACTTTTTTTCGAGAATAATGATGGTGTAAATTGCGTGTTGTCGTATTTTTTCTTATGCTTTTGACTGCATTTGGCTCGACGTATGTATCAACGCCGTTCCAAATAAATTTGAGTCGACACCAATTGACTACTTGGTTGGGCGCAACACTAGCTAGCTCGACGTACGAACCGGCAAAAATTCAAAGGCCATCTAATCACTACAATACTTTACAGAAGAAGTTCTTATCAATTTTTACCTGCAAAAGTAGTTATTATTTATTGTTACAAAAAAGAAAAAAATATTGCATATTGGTAAATCGGGAAGTTTTTGATAATTGTTCAGTCTTAAATGGAATTGCTTTTGGTTGGACGTTATTTTAATGGTTCTCTTGCCTAGAATATACTGGAAGTTTCTTACCTTTCGTCTTTGAAGCGTTTAGTTTGGTGAAAGAAGTTAACTTTTCTACAACTTTAACATTCTGCTTAAACGTTCAAATTGAACATCTGTTACTGTACTTCCTTTAGTTAAGTGTTTTTTATTAATGCATGCAAGAAATGCAATATACAATTTTATTGGACAATGTTTAATTGTGGCCTCCCAGATGAACAGTAATAAGGGTAATTATTCGAAATCAGGCCAAATTGATGGACAGGCACTGTGAGATCTAATAATGTAAAACACGACCTTCACATATTGACATTAACTCGCACAAATAATGACTTTAGCTATCTTTAAAATTGATATATATTCCGTGATGAAGCTTACTCTAGTTCCTTCACAAAGTTTACTAACACATACTGCAAAGAATTACACTTTCAAACATCATTTTTGCGGAACGCAAATAAGTTGGATAACATAATTATCTTATTATTTTAATTTAAAATATTCTAGAGGCAATTGCATAGCCGCAGGACGCCTGTAAACATCTTGAGGCTAGTTTATTCTAAAGCGGGAGGCACACGTCTTCTTCAACGGAAACTTCAGGGTGGATGAAAAAGTACTATGATAAGTAACAGTATCTCGTTCAACCATTGAAGCAGTTTTCAGTGATAGTTATAAAATTCTTGGATGAGTCAGACATACTTTTAACACATAATCCCAGCTTCGATCCTCAACTCGAGCACGTCTAAAAATATTTCTTTATTTTTCTTTTAAATGCTTTTTTCTGTAGATATTTGTTTGCTTTTTTTTACTAATTACGAGCAGTTTTTTAATAGTGACCGAAGATCATATTCGAATAGCGCCGTCGAACCGATAATCGCGGGTTCGATTCTCGATTCGGGCACCTCTAATGTTTATTTTTCTTTTTTAACAGTAAAATAAACCTATTGTTTGTTTTTCATTTCTAAAATGTGAAGTGATCTTTTGAAGTATAATGCTAACTTAAAAATAACTTTTAAGTAACTTAAAAATATTGAGCTTTTCCAAGATAAAAAAAGGTTAACTTTCATGTCTGAACATGGGACGGGTGAGGCAAGAAACTGCAATATATTTTCAAATTTAAACAATTCGGATCTTGGGGTTTCTAATGCAAAAGGAATTACAAAGATCCACTGAATTTCGAAATAATCTTTTTTTTGATGTCTCATGTGGAATTGCCCATCAAATCAATTACGGCGCTATAATAAAGATATATTCCACGGCAAAATTTTATACGCTGTGTCTATATGGCCGGTTACCGGTCAACACTTAACGTAGCCTATATATATATACACGATGTGTTCCACAAAATGGTTCTAGACAGACCTTTTGATATATATTTTTGATATATATTTTAGGTTATTGATATATGGTTTTTTATACTGAAACGGGGGTTAGGCTTAGAAAACGGGATCAGTACCAAACAGTATTTCAGTTACAATTCTCTTTGTCGGAGTTCGGAAATTAGGTGTTACTATATTTCTAGCTGGCATCTTTTAGAAACAACAATTACCGTATTTAATACCAACAAGCCAACAAGCGTCATTAGGTTCTTGATTGATRACGACGAGCTAAAGAGTAAGTTGCACGTTTTCTAACAGTAATGACATATACCACCCTTATACACTCCACCTTAATCACACCCCAACCGAAAAGAAAGAAAGAAAAATCGCTTTGTCAACTTGTGTTACTTCATAGTTAATAACTATGGTTACTTGCAGTGAAAACTAAGCTTTGTAGGTTGTAGAAAATAATCGTTTTAGTAATTAATCTGTTAATCATTATTTATTATGTCGCCACAATAATCATCAAGTACCTGTGAAATATATGCGATGCTTCTGAAAGCATAATAGAACCGATTCAATTTGAAATTCGTATTGAGACACATGAAAACTAAAATTAAAAAAAATAACATGTAATCAAATGAAAATTTTAAAACTTGTTGATATAAGCTTTTCGGCTGTTGCTCATTGAAACGATTTTTAGTCATAAATGGTTCAGTGAGTTTAAAAAATAGATATGACTTACTGTTGGTTTTGCATATGAAGCTTGAACGCACTGTAGCTAGGAGGGAGTGGAATTACGACATCAAGACGTTGAAAAGATGAAAAGAACGATCTTTTTTCTAGTTTTAGCAGCAGTGATTGTTATTTTGTTGATTCAAGAGGGAAATGCTGGTGAGTTTTCGATTACAGTTTTACTTTCATGACTTATGACCACTACAAGAGCTATTATTGAGTAGCATATTGAGTTTACCGACGAGAACCACATTCCCAATACTAACACTGTACTTTATATATAATATACTCTTTAGCACACGATTTTCGAGGAAAAGAATGTTCAGAATACACACCTCTATTCCATTTATGCCCGCCTRCATAACACAAAACAGCATACAGTCAACCCCATGACACTGATGTTGTTTGCTTGTAAAGACCGAGAAAGTCACAATAATTAAAAAACATGTATTTTTGACACTAGCTTTATGTTTAAAACGATGGTAATGCTGCGGCGGTGGAAAAGGAGGGAGACTATCATCGCTATTTTTAATTGAGATCTTTTCAGTGAGTTTTAAAAACATTAGAATGTTATATTTTATATCCTCGCCGATTCTTGTGTCGCAGTCCTGGTGCTATGTGAGGTCYCGTTTGATCTCTTTTTACCTGTCTATTTGATTTCTAAAAAGGCTTATTTGGTCACATGTTGTAAACATTCCACTTTTGTCAACTTATAAAAATAGTGACTTACTAACTGATGGTTGTTCTTCTGTGTGCTGTGTGTATTAGGGGCCGCCSCTAATCAGATACGTTTTTAGTACCACTAACGATGGAAATCAGACTATATCCAGGATTATCGCCTAGCAAATAACTCAGTCCTATCTTGCTTTCTTGCCATCAGAAACGCTTGTATAGTTACCTTGATTTTCACAGATACAATTGAAATTTGTAAATGGTAATAGTTTGTAAAGTTTTAAGGTACTAAAGATGAATGTAGTACGTCCAATTGGAGTTATTTAAATGATCATTGAATTTGTTGAGTTGTATATACGTATATCTCATAATTGCCTGACTTTATGAATGCAAGGTTTATTCCCGTTCGGTATGTTTAACAAGTTTTCAGCGATGTGACTGTCGGTGAATATTCATCACGASTTGAACTTAGCCTGAGGCGAACATTTGCAGTAAATGTACGAACACATGCTAAATATTTCACGCGAAACGAGTGACATAAATCAAGCCGCAAATGGCGTCACCACTCGAGGATACCGGACGTGGGCATCATTTTGTACGAAGCCCCAGACTTTGTTCAGATATGGTCTAATTTCGATAAAAAAATCGGTAAAAATGAAAATATTGAGCTTGAAATTCTAAATTTAATAAATATGCATCCACAAAAACCTTAATATATCATGCTGATCTAAGAATATGTTATACGTACATTGACAATATGAATTATCAAAACCATTGCAATTTCTTAGTTTGAAGTGATAATACATTCACTATGAATGCTAACCGTTAAAATTTATATTTTGAGCTCTTACTTGTTATAGTGTCTTCCCTGCAACGATTTTTGACGAAGGATAAAGTTTAATATGAATCGGCGATGAGTATTAAATACTGACTGATCGGCATGGATCGGAATAATAAATGCTGTATCTAAGTGCCATATTGACACAATAAAAAAAATTGGTAAGAAGCTTACTGACAAGAACTTCCAGACCTTAAAAATMACATTTTGTGTGTTTAAAAGACATTTCTGTACCATGACGTTAAACACTGAGTCTTCCGCCATATTGGTTACCGATTTGTAAATGCCCGTTTGTTTACAGGAAAAGAATTAGTGACTTATTAACTAGTCCACCTCAAACACCATCATCTATCTCCCTCCTATAACTATTCGATTGCTTACGCAATCTTCGAGTTAAAAAGGAGAAGATATTGTAAAAAAACGGGTATTTTCTGTTTTAGGTAATTATTGTAGTGGTAAAGGCAATGGCAACTATCCAGACCCTGACAACTGCAACGGGTACATCASCTGYGTTCATAGTAGAATTGTCAAGATGCCGTGCCCAAAGGGACTGGTATGGAGCGACAGTGTTAAACGTTGTGAATGGCCGAGTAAAGCAAAGCCACCATGCCGTCAAGGTAAGCACTTGCTGTTCGTTCATTCGTCTTCATTACATAATCTTTTCTTTTTTCACGAGTGCAGTTTTTGTTAATCAGAGTTCGGATTATTCTTTTTATTGCATTTTGTATGATTTTTTTCAAAAAGTGTCAAACTTTCAATGATGCATAGAAAAGAATAGACTGTATTTTTTTAAAAGCCCTAGCATTTCATTTACTTGTTAGGATGTCGGGGAAACAAGTTATCAAAGCTCAGCTGTGGCGTTCTAAGAAGCAATGGTGAATGCAAACGTTCTTTCATTAGAAAGTTGTGTTGTAGGTCATGTGGTTAGAAGGGCTGATGGCCAGCAAGACGACAACCATCTAAGTACCTAAATTCAGAGTGAAAATAAAACTAATCCTCCATCCAGCCGAGGATTAATTTATATATAACAATCATTGTGAATTCGAGGCAGTTAGATTCGTGAAAAGATAACTTGAAAGTTTGAAATAAATTTCCCTTGAAACAATGTCTAATTAAAGCTTAGTGCATTATTCGTCTTCTTCATTCCTCTTCCGTCACCGTCTGAACATTCTGAACGGTCTTGTTATACTTTGTAGGACGTTGGTACTTAAAACTCTTGATTA